ATATAAAAATTTAAGTAAAATTAATTAAAAATACTATAATTAATAAAACTAAGAATACAAATTAAAAATTCCTCTCTAAATTATAACCCATAACTTATATCTTAAATTTAACTCACGAGATGACATTTGTTTGTGAATTGAATTTATTAAAACGGTACCATTAGGAAAAGAAATACTAGTAGTACAATAGAGAGCATGATTACCATCACACAAATATTCGTTAAAGTAACAAATAAATATTATAAAATTTTGATTTAATTATTAAAAATAATTAATATTTATAATTATTAATTAATAATTTATACAACAATTATATATTTTTATTTAATATTTTAAAATGAATCTAAATCCTAATATTTCCAAACATCCTAATGTTATATACAATAAATTTTTTTTATTATTCTTTTTCAAAATACAACAAACACAAGCACTTGACCTTTAGACCCAGTGACATCAAGTCACGTATAAATGCATTTTTCCACACTTAGGACAACGGTTCCAATCTAATTCATGCGAATTTGTTCAAAAAAAAAAAATATAACAAACACAATATTTATGAATCACTTTACTAAAAGGAAGAGCCCTATCTCTTTCTCTTTGACCTTTTCTTTTTCAGTTGTTTTTTGGCTTATTATTATTAAAATTTTCCCAGCCTCACTTGGAAGTTTGCTAGCATCTTTCTTTTTATTTTTATCTTTTTCAATTCAAATGAGGTATTTTATTAAAAGTTATATTCAAAAGTTAAATATTTAAAAATATAAATTTACATAAAATAACAAAGAGTCCAAAAAATCAAAATATTCTAATGTTCAAGACGTCCATCATAACTATTCATTAAGTAAATTACAAGGTAAAATCCACTTAATGGATGGCATGATAAACCTTTTCAACGTCAAGATTTCTTAATTTTTATATTTTTAAAAATAATATTAGTTTTGATGATAAGATACTAAAATGAGATTTTTTTAATTATTTTTATTGTACTTATTTTAACTATCAATTTATAATTTGATAAAATTAATCAAACCAAAATTTACAAGAGAACTTTTTCTCTTTTTATAATTCAAATTGCACCCAATAGTAAAAAATAGATCATTAAATGCAAAACCTCCGATATTAAAAGACTTAACTTTATTTAAAAATTAATAATATATAATTTAATATAATCTAAATTACACATTATTATTTCTAACATACAAAATGCCCCCTTTATGTGTAGGGTTGGGCAAACGATTACTTAACCGAACGGATAACTAAAAATCGATACGAAATTAATCAAATGGTTAGTGATAAATAATTATTGGCGTTTTTTTTTTAATTTTAGTTAAATAACTGAAAAAATTTAGTAGGTTAATAGTTAGAAGATTGAAAAACCAAAACCAAGTATATAACTGAAAAAATAAAATTTTATATTAATAAAAAATAATAATTATTTAAATTTTATTATTATTATTTTTTGAACAGATTTTATAAGGGCTGGGTGCGAACCCCAGCCTGGAGAGGGAGAATACACCGTAGGTGACTTTTGTCATTTGATCCGAAGGGCACGGTGCAATTATTTAAATTTTGTTAATAAACATAAAAATCATTTTATTCAATTTTTACCTTATAAATTTGGTTATAATTTAACAAATGTTTGTGTGCCATAATTATTTGTCTCCTCTGCAAAATTTGTCGACCTGGCATTTTCCGAAGTAGTACTATTTAGACAAAAAAACCCTAACTTCTCCGATACATTTACATCTTTGTCCTAAAGTACAACCTTCGACAGCATCACAACCCCAACATTTATTTCATTCCCCCGAAGCCCCAAAAAGCCAACTCATCGCCAGCAACAGGCGACTGTTTCCACGGTGGTTCAGGGCCGTCTGTTGATTTTCTAGGGTTTTGCTATTGATCTTGATTAGGGTTCTTGTTTTTTTTTTTTTTTTCCTCCCTGTTCCTAATTGTCAATACAAGGTACAGTTATTCAGTTTTTATGATTTTGTTTTGTTTATTTTTCTTTCTCTTTTTTTCTGCTTTTCAGTTGCTTGTTATTGTTTCTTGAATGCTGCAGTTAATTTTATTCTGGAATTGGTATCATCATATGTTGAGAATTAGAGGTTTTAGTTTGGGGTTTTGCATGATTAGATTCCAATTTCACTAAAGAAGTTGTCTTTTTCAGGTGGGAGACTAACATGGGGTTTTTTTTTTTCTTTTTTGGTTTCAGTTACATCTGTGCGTAGTAAGTGTATAGCGATCCTCATAGCTGTTCCCGGTGGACAAAAGATGATGAAAATGGATTTGAATTGTTCTGGGTAGGGATTACTTTTGTTATTGCTACTTATTTTAATTGCATGTGTGTTATAAATCTTGAGTGTTGTTCTAGAACGTCTACCCCCCACAACAACAACACCATATACTTGGTAAAGTAAAAATAAAAATGGGAGGAAATGCAGTAGAGTTATTTTGGGTAGTTATGGTTTTGCTGAGATAAGTTTCTATATCTTGAGTGTGCTTATACTTTAAGTTGATTTTATTTGAATATTGTTATTACCCAAGCTCTTAGTTGCGGTGCTATGCATTGTAATAATTGGCTTATCCCGTCATTCAGTACCTTAGCAGGTAGCCTACCACAAGATGAAACTGAATTAATTAGCCTAGTGACTAATTTTCAGGGCAATAGTAAAATTACAGAATTAGTGAATGTCTGGATTGTATATGGAAGTCAGCTCTTGGAGTGGCACTGACATGTGTTTGTACAATTACAGGTTTTCAACTATGAGGCATGCTAAGCAAGAACCCTCATGTAGTGCAGAACAGGTAAGTGTTCTTAACTGGAAGTTAGATATGAAAAGACACAGTTTTGTTTATTCCAGGACTCATTTCTATTTTTGCATATTTGAACAGGCTATTAACTTGATTTCAGCTGTTACGGAGATTCACAGGCTTAGCTCTCATGAGCTGAGTAAGTTGCTGAGGGATTCTGAGAATTTTATGGTTGACTTTGTTAGTGGAAAAGGATCATCAGAGAAGGTACAAAAACTCAGCCATTATTGTCATTTCCATTTTTCTTATCTTTCCCTGGCTTTTTACCAACACATAACTTCTTAAATTCTCATCTTTCAGATTGATATGGAAAAACTTGCAGGATTTCTCCCCTTGCACCTCATTGCAGTTCTTATATCATCTGACAGAGATGAAGCCCTGTTCAGATATTTATTATGTGGCATGAGGCTTTTGCATTCCCTGTGTGATTTAGCTCCCCGACACTCTAAATTAGAGCAGGTTTCTTTTTGCTATTTTTATCTCATATATGCAAAGACTTGTCCCACTCCTATCGTCCTTTACCAACACCAGGATTGTCAGCGCCTCATTTTTTTTATAAATATTTTTATTGTACAGTCATACATTTGGGTGTTCTTTCTTGTAATTACTTGATTTTTTATGTAAAATTCCATTTTTAAAAAAATAATATGAGATTCTTTTCTCTTGATCTTTTTCCCCTGGTATTGTTTGCAGATACTGCTTGATGATGTGAAAGTATCAGAACAGCTGCTAGATCTAGTCTTTTATTTGCTAATTGTACTCAATGACTGTAGAAAGGTTTTTCCTGACCTTGTCCTTTATCTCTTATCTTCCTCTCAATTTGTAGTTTCTTTATTCATTCTTCTTTAATGTTGCAGGATATCCATAATTTAGGTCCTATGCCTCTTTTACATTCAGCTCTTGTGGCATGCAGTCTCTATCTATTGCATGCATGTATATCTTCACTTTGGCATGATC